GTGCCCCCTCTGCAGCAAAGTAATCGAGGCCTTGAAGGGACTTGCGTACGGAGGCACTACACTCTGAAAGGATCCTCGTCATTGTCCTCTCGCTGAATGGTGAAAAATTAGTTTCCGAGCAGTACTGTTTGTATTGCCTAAAGATTTGCTTTGGAATCAAGGTTCGTATTAAGTTAGGAACCGCAATGCTCTGACCATTTGATAGTTTAAGATTCTTTGTACTTAATGGGAGATCCTGCACTAAATGAGGGCTCGTGATGAAACTTAAAAAGTGGTCTAGATGCTGCCTATCAATCCGTTATCGAGGTGCCTCTTTTTTGGCGCAGGGACTGTTCTACCGTGCTGGAGGCGATGCAAGCCGGCCTGGGTATAACGGTATGGCGTCAACCCAGGAATGAAGGCCAATAGTGCTTTGTAGCTGGCGATGCCTACCATAATAGACGAAACCTGTTTTCTTGTATCCCATGCCTTTACATTGTATGCTTCTGCCAGAGTCGCAAGATAACTTCTATCAGATGGGGGCCACACTGTTTCATCACCCAATATTTTACTAACTGTTGTAGAAGTTTGCAGTTCAGTCCACAGATAACCAGGGTCATCGGGATAAACCACTTCGAGGACAGAAGAAATTATCTCCGAGGTTCTTTGCACGTCTCTTTGACGTGTTCTTTGACTGGCCTGGGCCTACTCTAGCCAAGGGCTTCCAAGTGCTTGGATTTGGCACTCCTCAAGAAAAGCATTCAGTTTTGAACGTTGAAGCTCAAAACCAGACACTACATTTTCCACAGAAGAAGATGTGGTGCTCGTTGTCTCTAGTGATTGGACGAAACTTCGATCTTCAATCTGAAGACATTCCATTCTCCCGGCTAATTCTTCTGATGCTGTACATTTTTCACTCCCCTTTGAGAAATTAAAAGAGAAAATGTGTGATAACTTGCAGGATGCGCGTAATGCCAAGTTACCTAGCGTCCGTGACCCGCTAAGTATTCCAAACTAAAAACGCTTTGTGCTATATAGACACGTATCGAAAAACCTGTAGGTCTAACATACGTAATTTTAGAAGCGGTGTTGTTTGTCCATCGTCAAAGGTGGTAAGTCAATTTCGATTATCAGTTGTATCTTATGCATGCAAGCTGCACAATAAATGGTTGTACTTTATGACCGGTAGTTAAGAGTATAGTGGCCTGTCTCAGTGGCAGATCTAGGGGAGGCCCCCCCTCCTTATTTTTGGTAAAATAAAATTTTTTCGCAAAAGAAAGGAATGCCTGCAAAATATTTTTGGGTTTACACACCAAAAAAAAAAAAAACGCCTCCCCCCCACCCTTCTGGATTCACTACTGGGTCTTGTACGCTATCGGCGCTAAGTTCACATTTAAAATACACAATAGCGCGCAAGAGAGTACTGCAATAATTTTTTGCTGGCTTCTACACAATTCCTAGGTACTTATAAACACACACCGGGAAGAAAGAAGCAATCACCTTATCACTCACCGAACGCAATGATAGAGATATAAAGGTTAAACTTTATTACTAACATTTTTCCGGCTTTCCCTTTAACGAAACGTATCTGCATTGCTTCATGTTCACTGCTTTCTGAACTCTCTTTATCTTGAGATGTTTCTTCCTCTTGAGGCAGTTGGTATGAAGCGGAGACGTCTGGGGAGATGCTTGCTTGGCTAATTGGTGGAGCGTGTTTTAAAACTAGTTCTTGCAAATGGTCCCTGCATCGCTTACAAATTGCTAAAAGGCAAGAAAACTCAATGAAATAAATATTACGCAATTCCAATTGATTAATTGGTTGAACGAATTTAGCTTCTAAATTATCAAAGTTTTTAAGGGACAACAGAGATACTAAGGGTACGTAACATGCGTAGCATGACTCAAATAATTTTCTGTTTGTTTGTTTGCTATATGTTTTTCGCTATATGTTCTTCATACTATGACTAAATCAGCTCCGTGAGAACACGCGTGTTCTCGCGGGAGCTGATTTCCACCCACTTGCTCGATCTGAGAGAAATGAAGGACTGCTCGGGATCTATTAACGAACGTGTATGTGCGCTCACTCCGTTGCAATGACTCGTCTCCTTGGAAACATGTGCTTGCGTTTCAATGCATGACACGCTCATAGAAGTAACCGATCGCATTTAACTGTACGTTTCAACGGCACTAACTTCAGCAAACTTTAAATTACTTACGGGTTCCAATAGGATAAAGCTCCCCCACTGTATCGCTATAAACGAAGATTCTTTACTCTTCATACTGCGATCTCCCTTCACCGTTGAAGATTTATGTCCTGCCACTTTACCTGGAACAGAGCATCTCACCTTTCCACTTCTCAAGCGAAGGCCGTACTTTTCTCGATGGCGAGAACATACAGTGGATGACAAATGGCAGGGTCGTAACGAGGTATATGGGATCAGGGATCAAAGGCCTAAAAAAGGGTGGGATCAGGGATCACAGCCTCGGATCCGGGATCAAAGCCCTCGGGATCGGGATCAGCGTGTTTTCCATGGGCTCAAGGATCAGGCGTCTAGATAACAACAATAATTTACGATGCGCGCCTAAACATGGATTTTTAAAGCTTTTTGAAATTTTATGACCCATTTTATACAGTATTCCTTGGTATTTGGACTTATTGATTGATAGTTCACCGGAGACCAGAATCAAAGAGTACTAGTTGACTCAAACTTGACTGGTTAGGCATTGGGTCGTTAATCTGTTAATAACTTGCCAGGATTTTATTGTCTTACTCGCGCTGCATGACGTTCAATCATGTCATACAATATGCCAGGAATAGGTCATTTGAGCACGTTGGATTGCTTTCGACTGAGCACGGGCACTGAGTACACTTGGAGATTACTGGATCGTTTTTTAAAAAAGTCAACATTTCAGAAAGTTTTTTTCCATGGGGAAGCGAAAGAGGAGAAAAGATAATCACACACGTAGAAGGTAAATTGGAGTAAACGTTGATTTACGGTTTTCTTTCTGGTTCAAATCTGCAATCTTTTGGCAAAATTTAATTTCATAAACTCGACATTCTAGGTCACGTTCCTGGTCGCTCAGCAGAAAAGGCGAAGCTCAAGGCGACGTTCAACAAGCAGGTAACTTAGAATAATGAGTGTTTGTGTGTTGTTACCAATTATAAGGACTAGAGTATACATAGAATTGCTTCTAAAACGGCGAAAAGACCAGACACAAAAACCATGATGTAACAACTGATAACACATTGAAAACTGATAGCACAAATGGACTATGAGATTTCGTCGTGTTGTGGGATTTAGCGTGGACCCGAGTAGTATTTATTCTAAAGGCAATTTATATGAAAGAAAAGTTTTCTTTTGATCAAGGAAAATAATAGATGGATTAATTTGAAGGATTTTTTTTATAAAATTAATGTCATCACTTTTAGGTTTACTGGTAAATGTTATTACAGTAACTCTTGCCTTGCGGACACCCCGCGGCCAAAATTCAGATCCCCATCTAGAGGGTCTAACATAGGTTTGGCAGGATACGGGATGAGGCGTTTTTAGCTGCCGGGATGCGGGATGAAAGGAAATTTTAAGGCGGGATGCGGGATAGCGTGGAAGCGGGAAGTTGCTTATTTTTCTGGCGGGACGCGGGAATTTTTTATTATTTCCGGCGGGAAACGGGATTAAGGATGAGAAATTTATAAAAAGATCTATAAATTTCTGGTCTTTATCTGCAAGTCAATTTGCGGGCCGACATCCCTCTAAAAACGTGCGCCGGGTTTGTAAAACAATAGAGATTTTAAAAGGTTAGTCACGTTTTCTCCCGATATAAACAATCAGCAACACCACACCTTTGACAAGAAGACCATTTTCAAAATATCGCAGTTTGACTTTGACATTCAGCAGAAGCGTTACAAAGCCCAACTGGAGATTTATTTTGTGGTAAACCAGGGTCAACCGCTTTGCATTTATGACGCTCCGGAAGGGCTCCTGATCTCGATGCACAACCAAGGAATTGAATGTCTTTCTCGTGAAGAGGCCTCTGTCGAACTAACCAGTGTTGTTAAAAAGGACCCGTCAGTTATCCTTGGCATTACTAAAACAGCACAAAAGCTCGTCTTCTCTGATTCTCATGACCATTCAGTTAACTTTTGTATTGATGGCAAGGTAATTCACTCACTGGGAGGAAGCCAGCCGGGGATGCAAGACGGCTTTACAGTTAGGTTTCACTCGCCATCAGCGCTTCTGTCATATGGAGAATCTATATTTGTCTGTGACACCAGCAATCAAGCTGTCAGACTAATTTCAAGCTTAAAAAGATATAAACATCTCGGAGAGAAATTGGGGCTATTTATTGAACTCTTCCAACTTGAAGAAGAACTATCAAGGAAGCCAAGTTTCCAACCAAGTTTGGAAGACGGGTTGATTATTCTCAAAGAAGCGGCGGATTTCATGAAAGACGTAGAGAGGCAGGCGTATTTTCGAACAGGTCGAAGATGTCCCCAGGGTCCTGATCTAGCATTGTCAAAACCTACGAGGGACGCTTTTAAAATGCTTCATTCGTCATTTGAGAAAACGAATTCGTTCTTCTCTGAAAACGAATTGCAGCATATTGCAAAGGATATATGCTTTCCAAGTTTCACGACACTACATGTGGAACATTTCTTTGCGGGAATGAGAACCCCAAGTCGTCCAACGCCAGACATGCATGATTACGGCAGCCGCAGACCAAGCTGTATTGTTGAATCCGTACAGAAGGTGTATCACTCTTCCTTTTCAGTGTATACGGGACCCCAAAGCCACTACACCGAACGAACAATAAACAAGAGGGAGCCTGAGTGGCTTTATGATCGTGCAAAGCTTAGCGAAGAACATTTTAGGCAAGAAGATAGTGTTAAGGAGAAGGATGTTTTGCGTGAAGAATCAAGGGAACTTAGGCTGTTTGCTAAAGAATTTGGGCAAGGCGTACGGCAGCAAAGAGTAAGAGACAAAACGAAAGAAAAGGCTGGAACTCTCCCTCTATCTCTAAGCATGATCCGAAGAGTTCAAACAAACCAAACTCAAAATGTTGTTGACATGCTTGAAGAGCTTCAAGCCTTAGACGCAGGACGACCTGAAACAGCACAGATTGAAACTCGTCCAGTTCGTTTTTCAAAGGGGGGTGTAGTCGCCCTAAAACACAACTGGAAACGTTATTTGGAGCCCTTTTTCCTTGCTATTCTTCAGGAGGACCTTCATTGCAGTAATGGTGGCATCCTTGAGCGTACCATGCGTATTAACTGGCTTGAGCCGTCAGAGGAACGTATCAAGAAAAACGGATCAGCTGAAAGTTGAGCAGGCTTTGTTTAACGATTAACAATGACCGTATATGGCTACTTTGGAACAATGGCGGAAACAGCTTTAAAATACACGCGGGATTTTTCAAATTTCCGATTATCATACGAGCGGCAGATTTAAACCATCGGCAAAACTGATGATACGACAAATCCTCCCCGTGGGGGTGATTATGGTAGATTTTTTAGGATGTAAATAGTCACGGTGGGGTGGATGGTGGGGCGACTGTAGCTTTCGTATCTGAAGTAAAGAAATGTCACCGTTTTTTCCTTTACATTGCTTAAAACTGGCGAAAGATATATTCAATTAGAGGCTCACTGTGCGATACAAAAGTGCTGAGAGCATGTGTAACCGGTATTAACGTCCGAAGCCTACCACGCCGTTGAATTATGTAGAAGACTTTCGTCATTTGCTCGATTGTTTAATGTGCGGGTATTTAAATTTCGCGCTGCGTGAATGAGATTTTGTTCCTGATGTGCACAAAAAGGTTCATATTCTCCTTCCTCTAGCGTATGATTTAAAACCTGGTAATAACGTCCGAAGCCTCGCGCGTCGTTAATTCATGTAGTTTTACGGGTATCTTTCTCTTTCCGTATTTCAATTCAACGAAAGGAGTTAAAAAAACAATGGCGAGTGGAAATAGTCGCACACGCTCGTCAATTTCTCCCATTCGACTCGACTGTTCAATCCGAGTATATTTAAATTTCGCGCTTCGTAAGCAAGAAAAACTGAATAATCTCCTTCCACAATTTTTTTGTGTTTACACAAACCGACATCAAATTGATACCTATTCATCCTTTTGTGTGATAGCAGGAGGTGAGATTTTTTTCGCATAGTCATGTTCTGCTAGTTTCTTCCTTTTTTTTTTTTTTTTTTGCTCAACAGGTTACGTCTATTCAATCACATCACTGATGCTGTCAGATTAATCTACCAAATTTTAGGGCAATCCAATTTCGCGCTACGAAAGTTATCCTATTTTCTTAGTTTGCATAAAGCGCTGCGCAATCGCCTCCCATAATTTGCTTACCGTAGCGTAAATGCATAAGCCCAGCAAAAACTTAACACGCGAAAAAAATCACACCCCTTGATTCGTTAAATGCCGCCTCGGTTGATTGAGAACAAACATAAAGTCCTAAGGTCCGCTTTCTACAAAGGGAATATTTGGGAAAACTGTTGATAGCTTTATAATTTTCATAAAGACTGTTTGAATCCGTCGTAAAACTATGTAAGCTCAAGCAAGACCTGCTTTTTTTTTCTCCGAAAGAGAATATAGAACAAACGAAAAACAAAAAATTCGTAACTTCTCCATTGTGAGACTTGTGAGTAAAATATCACACTCTCGTCTTGCCGCGCGTTTGACTGAAAACGAGAATAACTCAAAATAGATGTCCTCTCAAAAACTAGAGATAATTTCCTCGATCAGTAAATCTTGTGTCATCAACATCGTTGCAAGAATTCTGTGCTTTTGTAAAACACGAAAGAACAGCGAACCGACGCCATTTATTCTATTCCTTGCAATGACTGTGATAACGAATACATCGGACAGACCAAACGCCAGTTTGGTACACGGTGAGTTTTTCTTTGCAAAAAGGAAAATTCAGCTTTATCGATGGGATAATTCTAAAATTATCACTACTAATCGGCGTTACCACCAGCGCCTTTGTTTGGAAAACACGATGGCGGTCTGCTTCCTGACGCCTATTTACACCTCGTCAGAAAAAAGGCCGCTAATTAGTGATCATATAAAAGGACCTCTTGTAAGCGTTTAGATCACCCCTGATGAAGGCACTAGACAGGAGTGTCGAAACGTTGGGTCTATGAATTGTAACTTCTTCGGTTACATTCATTAAATCTGCAAACCAGTGTAGCTTCAAACTATGTCTGAGGAATCCTCTTCTTAGGTCGACTTGTTGGTTCCAGAAAGTAAGTGCTTCGCTAGAAAACAGCTGTGCGTCAGCGCCTGCCCTCTACGAAAATTTGGAGAAGCTGTTGACAGCTCCTTACTTTTAACAAAGATTGTTAAAATCCGCTGTAAAAATCTGATAGTTTTTAATGAGAGAGACTTACTTTTAAACAGGACCTGCTTTTTTTGCAAAAGATAAATAAAAAAAACTCGCACCTTCTTCATTGTGAGACTTGTGAGAGAAAAAATATCACACCCTCATCTTGCCACGCGTTTGATTGAAAACGAAAATAACTCAAATACATGCTCTCGCAAAAACTAGAAATCATTGCTTTGATCAGTATATCTTGTATCATCAACATAGTTACATGAATTCGGCGCCTTTGCAAAGAAGGATCCTCGTGTCAGGTAAACATGCTGGTTCTAAAAACGATGAGCGCCTCGTTTGAAAACAGCTGTGCGCCAGAAACAAGGTTTTTAATGAAGAAAAAGTTTTTTGAAGAAAAGAAGAAAGGAGATTTGAATGGAGCATTTTGATGAAAGGAAAAATAACCCAACGTCCGTCATCGCAGACGGACGCAAACAGTCCCTTTACAATCGCACTAAACAACCCTAGAACGTATGTCTCACAATGAAAACTTTATTAATAGATTGGTTGGAGTGACATAGTCCTCAAAATTTCAAGCCTAGCAAGTGCAGCTTATGGTCACGGCCATTTCAGCCCAATTTTTTAGCGAAAACACAATGATTTTACTGCCTCTACACTAAGGAAAGAAGTTTCTATATCTGGATCTCACCTGCCCTGGTGTGTGCTTGGTCTACCACAGCGTGGAGCCCCAGTCTCTAAGGGGTTTGTTTAACTATAACGCATCAGGCAATATTGCCTAAGAACACCTGTTTAACCAGACTTTAAACGCTGTACGCACACAGACAATGTTGATAATCACTTCTAGTGCATGGGCAGCCGTTCAAATCTTTATTATTTTATCTTTATATTATTTTATAAACTGATTGTAGAAAATAAGATAAAGAATCATACAAGGAAAATCAACACGTTTCAGAAAATTATGGATGACAGAAAGAAAACATATTTCTTTCCAGTCTCATTAACATAGATTAACTATATACACACTGTAATCAATTTAATAAAATTCATCGAGCTAAGGAGTACGAAGTGCAAAATTTTCCTCTTTATCTATGTTTGTGTGAGTCTCAAAACCATTTTCGCTGGACTTGCCTTTAATTCTTATTAAAGTCTCTCGTTTCTTCTCTCAAATTCACCTGCATTGCGTTTGTTTGACATGAATTACCAAAGACGATCTATAATTATAATATGCCTTTGCACCTAACGTGACGTGCGACACTTTCAAGGAATTAATAATGACATTTTATTGTCCAAGACACATTACTCCAGTCAATCCGTACTAATTTAAATTCTTCACCGCGTATTATTCGACCAATTTAGCTTTTTGTGCAAAGAGCCCAAACAGGAAGTGGGAAGTTCATTTCTAATATTAATTTTCATCTTGGCTTGAAACCAACAGTTTCTATCGTAACCATAGCTACCAGACTAATAAAAGAAAACGCGTTTGGCTAAATAAGTCTAGTGTTGGGCACCAAAGAACGTTGGATCTTGAAAGGTAGGAGATGACTGTACTTAATGCATGATAAACTTGAGTTTGACTTTCACCCCATGATAAGATTTGATATTCAGCCTTAACTCCTATTTCTGTGTAGTTGAAATAAAACGAAAATGAAATTTACCGAGTTTCCAAATGTGGGTATCACAAACACTTGGCGAGAAAATATCTCCAGCTGCTTGAAAGAAACAAGATCATTATCCTTAAATTTTATTTTCTTGAACAAAACATTTACTATGTTAAATAATAGGGAGTTTTTAATCCAAAAGGTTTTGGTTTAAAAACGTACAACTTAACGTCTAAGTATCTGCTTTTCCTAGCGTTTTTCGCCGTCAATTGGACCTAAAAGAATTAATCGAAATTTTTACAATGTTGGTCAAAGGACTAATTTTGGTGTCTAATACGTATGTTAACATGTGAAGATATTCCTAAGAGACCCACATCTCTCCATCGAGCGAAGCGGATAACATCCATTTGCGCCATTTGCATTAATTTCCACATGGAACTGACAGCTGCAAGCATTTTTTTAAAATTTATTTTCATAAAAAGGTTTTGTTCATAACAACAGGTCGATTTGGGAAGCTTAATCCATTGCTTGGAGCTAGCGATCAACTTAAAACTTGTGTCATACGCGCGTGGTATAAACAGAAAACCTGGACTGCATTGTTGACTAACTTCACTTTTGGAAAAGGTGAGTCGCAGACGGCGAATCATTTTTTTATCCTTCGATTCACTTATGAGTACAACTTCATTTATATATCTCTCCTATTCTATTTTACTGATACAAAAAGAATTAAAGTTACAACAACTAGCAAAGACTAAGTCAAAATCCGACATTCAACATCTACTCATGATTGGAACTAATTTTTGAAAAATTAAAGGGTATTTAACGAAAGTTAAATTTCATGGTCGATGACTTATCGATCATGAAATAGAAAAGGAACTTGAGAAAAAATTGCGTATAGCATTTATTAATGGCTTTTGTTCTCTTCCCTAAAATAATATCGAAAATGCTCTCTACAAAAGACAAGTGATGCTCGATGCTACCAATTTTTGTTCTTGTTTCAACTTTTTTTTTTTTTTTTTTTACCGTTTTTGGGAGGGAGAGGGCTGGAGCTATTTATCTAGGGCCTTTTTATACAAAAAGTTAGGAATTTAAAATATAACATCGGTAACAGCGACATCAACAAAAACAATTAAAAACTTTACTCAAATTTGTCTTGTCCCAAGCATTTTGTGTTAACCTCCTTTATCTCAGCTGAAATCATGAGGAAATATCTGAGCGCGGAATTGAGACATAAAATTATCCTAAATTCCTGTTATCAGATAGGCAAAAATCCGCAAATGAAGGCAGTATTAATTTTCCTCCATTTTCCCTGGGCTGGTTAAGTTACGCGGAAATTATAATTTTTCTTTTTTTTTTTT